GAGCCCCGCCGCCCCCCAGGGGTCCGCCGCCGTGCCGCCGGAGCCCCCCCGATCTCGTCGTGGTGGCCGTCGAGCGAGGATCGCGGGCTCGGGGTTCAAGGTTCGAGGTGGTCGAAGGTCGAGGTCGGGGTTTGAGGTCGCCGATCGAGGTTCGAGGTCGGGGTTCGAGGTCCGAGGTGCTCGGGCGCCATTCGGGCTGTCGAGGAGCCTCTGGCAGCCTTCTCGTCGCCTCGGCTGGAGCCGCCCCCATATTCTGATCAGAGCGTTTCCCAGGAGAGGTCCGGGTGCGATCGTCGTCATCGTCTTTGATGTAGTTGTGGTTGTGGTCGTCATCTAAGAAATCTTAGTCGCTGCCGTCGTCGTCGTGGTGGTCGTCGTCGTTGTCGAAGTTGCCGTGGTCGTCGTACGTAGTCGTGGTGGTCGTATTCGTCCCCCATACTCGCTCCCGGTGCGCCTGTCTGGTCCGATTCTCCGTCCTCCCGCTCCCCCTCATCCCTCTGATTCCTGGCCCTTCCCCCCGTCCCGCTGCCCCTCCACAATAACACATTGCCGATGGTCTCCCCTGTCTCCGTGCGGAAGATATTCGGCCCTCTCCGCGTGTTGTTGTAATTTTCACACAGGATTTCAGAAGGTGGTTCTTCAAGTGGCTGCCAGTCCGCCGACCCCCCAGATTGGGCTCCTTGGAGGGTTCTTGGGGGCGTCTGGGGAGCTTTTCGGGGCTTCTTGAGGGCCCCTTGGGGGCTTCTTTGGAGCCTCGTGGAGACCCTGGGGCTTCTTGGAGGCGCCTCGGAGGCCTCTGGGGGCCTCTTGGAGGCTCGAAATCCAGCTCGTATTCCGCCTCTTGAGCACCTCTTAGGGCCCTATCTTCATCGTGAAGAAAATACAGTTAGCGTTGTGTCATAGTGTTGTGCTGGAGGCAACTGGTTATGACTCTACGCTACGGTTAGCATAGTGCCATAGCGTAGTGTTGCGGACACCTGAGTGTAATATTACTCTGTGACACTACGCCACGGTTAGCGTAGTGTCATAGCGTAGTGTTGCGGACACTTGGGTGTGACACTACACTGTGACATCACGCTACGGTTAGCATAGTGTCATAGCGTAGTGTTGTGGACACTTGGGTGCGACACTACACTGTGACACTACGCTACGGTTAGCGTAGTGTCATAGCGTGGTGTTGGAGACACTTGGGTGTGACACTACACCATGACACTACGCTAAGGTTGAGGTGGGGGGAGAAGGAAGAGTTTGTTTGTTTGCTTTTCCTGAGGGTGTTGCTTGACTGTGCTCCAGGAATGAGGATTCTACATTACGGTTAGCGTAGTGTCATAGCGTAGTCTTGCGGGCACTTGGGTGTGACACTACACTGTGGCACTACGCTACGGTTGAGGTGGGGGAGAAGGAAGAGTTTTTGTTTGTCTGTTTTTCCTTAGGGTTTTGCTGGACTCTGCTCCGGGAATGAGGATTCTACGCTACGGTTAGCGTAGTGTCATGGCGTAGTGTTGCGGACATCTTTCCCAATGCTCCCAGCTTTGCTACGGTCGGCTATCCTCTTTCCTCCCTCCTCCGACGCAAGACTTGGGCACCGCTGCGGACGCGCGACGTCGGGCGGGGAGCCATAGAAAAGTCAGACTTCCATCTTGCTATTTTCGAGTCGTTCGATATCTGGAGCGTGCTTCTTTTTTTGCTTGGGGCATAATGGGCATTGTAGCCCCCGGTTCCCCCCCCCTCCTATAACGTAACGCCCCCCGGCCCCCTCTCCCCCCCTATAATGCCCATTCTCGCCGAAGGCTTCTTCCTCCCTCCTCGCGGCTGCTTTCGTCGAGGCTTCCCCAGGGAGAGTAGGTCCGAATCGGCTGACGGCCGCGCGGTGTCGAGGCCAAATGGCCTGAGGACGGCCAAGCTCCAGGTGCCAGATGCACATGTTCTAGGTGCCACTCAGGGTGGTTCAGGTTTCAAATCCGAATCGGCTGACGGCCGCGCTGTGTCGAGGCCAATCGGCCCGAGGACGGCCAAGCTCCAGGTGCCAGATGCACATGTTCTCTAGCTGCCACTCAGGGCGGCTTAGGTCTCAAACGCGCTGCTTCGGAGACGGTCGCTGCCTGGGCCTCTCGACCCGACCCCTCCCTGGGGCCCGTGCTGCAGCCCAGGTCGTGGAGCGACGGCCGAGCCCGAGGCGGGCCTCCGGAGGCCCGGCCCTCCCTCCTCCCTCCCATCTCTCCCTGCCCTCCCTTCCCTCCCTGCCTTTCCTCCAGTGCGGGGCGCACGCTGTGCGCCCCAATCGGCTGTCGGTCGGCCTGTCTCGAGCGTGCAAGAGGGCTGGGACGGGGTCGGCGGGAGCTGGGAGTGGGGGGGACGGAGCTATCGCGTCGATGCTCGAGCAGGCTCGAAGGGGCCTGCATCCCAAGACGGGCGAGCCCCTCGAGCCGCTCGTCTTCTCGGAGCTCGGGGAGCCTGCGATGCCGCAGCAGGCGCCCGAGCCCGAGGCACCTGCATAGTGGGCGGAAGTACAGGCGTGGGTTTGTCTTCCCAACGGGGGGCGCGGTGCGAGTGGGGACTGCCCGGCGTTGCGCCGTTAGTGACCCTCGCACCGTTGCTCCCCGGCCCCGCGCACGGCGCGGAGAGTGCCCCTTGTTGGATGAGGGTCTCTCTCTCGTCCCTTTTCCTTTTCGAGGCGTGTTCGTGATTCACCTGCACGCTCTCGGCACTGTCCTCACTGTCCTCCTCCTCCTCCTCCCTCCCCTCCCTCCCTCCTCTACCCCCCCCCTCCTCCCCCTCCCCTCCCTCCCTCCCCCCTCCTCCTCCTCCTCCTCCTCCTCCTCCTCCTCCTCCTCCTCCCTCCCTCCCTCCCTCCTCCCCCTCCTTCTCTTTCTCCCTCCCTCCCTGCCTCCCTCCCTCCTCCTGACGCAGAGGCACTCTGGGGCACTTCTCTTCTCCCTCACTCCTTCACTCCTCCTTTTGACGCCGGGGCACTCCAGGTGTGACACACACTATGGCACTAGGCTACGGATGATGTGAGGGAGGAGGAAGAGTTTTGTTATGTTTGCTTTTCCTTGGGGTTTTGCCTCGCTGGACTCTGCTCCGTGACAGAGGATTCTACGCTACGTTTAGCACAGTGTCACAGCGTAATTAGTATTGGGGACACTCGGGTGTGACACTACACTATGCACGATGACACTGCGCTACGGTTGATGTGGGGGAGAAGGAAGAGTTTTTTGTTCGGGCTGCTTTTCCTTAGGGTTTTGCCTCGCTGGACTCTGCTCCGTGACAGAGGATTCTTCGCTACGGCTAGCGTGGTGTCATAGCGCAGTGTTGGGCCGGGGACGCCTGGGCGTGACACGACGTTGTGACACTTCGCTACAGTTCATGTGTGGGGGAAGGAAGGTTTTTGTTGGTTGCTTTCCTTAGGGTTTTGCTTGACTCTGACCCAACGCTAGTGAAGCTACCGTAGTGTCATAGCGTAGTGTCGCAGTCGCTTGGCTATGGCACAACGCTAGTGAAGTTAGCGTAGTGTGATAGCGTAGTGTCAGAATTCACGATTCAGATTTACTCTCACCCTGGGCCGCTTCGACGCTCTCTTGGATTATGCTGGCACTCAGTCTGGGCATTGTTCTGCCGTCTTGGGGCTTTCCGAGGATTCCACAAGCCGTGGGAGGTGCGTCGGTAAGCTCGTCGTTCCTCGCCCCCTCCCCCCCCCCTCTGGGGGGGGGGCGAGTGGGAAAGGGGAAGGGAGAAAGAAGGATGAGAAAGGGGGGAGGGGGACAGGGCAAGCTAGGTGGGTTCGCGTCATATCTGACGTTCTACCCCTCCCTCCCATCCCTCTCCATGGTGCCACTCTTCTCTAGTCGCACAACCGGATAATGTAGCATGGCGCAGCATTGCATGGCATAGCATGGTGCTGACGGTCAACGCGTAGCATGACATAGCATGGCGTGGCGACGCCCCACAGTTTTTTGGGGGGCTTCTGCGACCCAAACAATCAACGAATCGACACTGAATGGATAGTCACTTCCGATGGTTTCTTTGGGAGGCCATTTTCTAGATTTCGGGCCTTTTTGGAAGAACCGAAAACCATGCCGTGGCATGACACTGAAAATAATGACGCCAGCGCTGCAGCGGGAGCACGATTCGGAACGAGCGGAAGCGCGGACATGAGGTCAGGGCTGCAGCGGGACCACGATTCGGAGGACGCGGAGCTTGACATAGCATGGTGTGGCGACGCCCCAACGTGGGGGGGGCTTCCGCGACCCCCAAAATAACGAATCGACGCCGAAAGTGTAATCACGTCCGATGTTTTTTTTTTCCGGGGGGCATCTTCAAGATGTTGGTGCCTATTTGGAAGGACCGAAAACCATGCCGTGGCATGGCGTTGGAAACAATGACGCCAGCGCTGCAGCGGGAGCACGATTCGGAACGAGCGGAAACGCGGAAATGAGGCCAGCGCTGCAGCGGGAGCACGATTCGGAACGAGCGGTGGCCCGAAAATGAAGCCAGCGCCTCAGCGAGAGCAGCATTTTGAAAAGAACAGCGAAAACCCGTTTCCCGGGAGCTCTGTGTGTACAAAGAAGCCAGCACGCGGAGGGGGGCTGGCTATTGCCCGGACGTCACCAGGGGAAAGAGGAGAGTAGTATTCATTTTGTATAATTGTTGAGGGGGAAAGGGGGAGGGGGACACCCTAATGCCTCACAAGCCTTTTCACCCCGTGCAAGCCGGGGTCGGCGGATTCACACTGGACTTCAAAAAAGTTGATTCGTTTTTGGTTTGGTTACAGTCCGATTGTTTTCAGTGCTTCAGAGTGGTGCTCCCGCTGCAGCGTGAGTCTCGATTTCGGATCGGCGCGTTGCTCCCGTCGTTCAGAATGGCGCTTTCGCCCCAGCTTAGGCAACTTTCTGTATCCGAGTCCTTTCTCATAGATATCGCCCCCCTCATTTCCCCTGCTCCACCTGGCCCTGGTCCTCCTGTTCCTCCCGCTCCTTCCACTCCAGTTTCTGCTGATGCTG